CTAAATGGTTTAAAGTTGTAGCAAAGAATTGGAGAATGGTTTTCTTAAACAGAAAAAAAAAATATGGTCAAATTTACATAAATTTGTTACTTAAAAAACAGGAATTATGAAAAATGAAAGGAAAAAAAAGGTGGTACTCCTAAAAGCTTAATACACAGAAGTTGATGTTTAAGAACTTTCAGAGAACTTTCTCACCCACCCTAAGCTTATTAAGACCCTCTCTCTCTGCTTTTTAAATTTCACTTAGGAATGTGGAGTCCCAAAAAGGTTTGAAAGTCACAAAAAGATTACTTGTTCCAAGTTTTTACTATTCAGGAGCTCTAAAAGTTTTTCTTTAAGTTAAATTGTTTTGACAAACAATTTAACTTAAATAGCCATGTTTTGGAAAAAAAACCTTGCCTTTCTCAAAAAAATATTAGAGACCGTATTGCCTTCTGTCAAAAATACAAGCACTGGTCAGCAGAAGATTGGGAGGATGTAATATTTAGCGACAAATCACTAATCAAACAATTTCGTTGTCATTCTACATGCCTGCCTTGCCAACGATACAACCCACAGTATTTGCTTTCTACTGTAAAACATTGCCCTAAAATTATATGGGGTGCCATTACAGCAAATCAAAGTGTTGGTTTATGGTTTATACCTTATAACACCACAATAAACAGCTATATTTTTCTTTAAATACATAAAAAAAAAAACTTTAAATTTTCATGAACATCACGAATACCTACAATTTTCAGCATGATGGAGCACTCTTTCAGAGGGCCAAGCATGTAAGCAGTTCGTTATGTGAGAACGGGGTTGAGATCATTGGGCCCTGGCCTGGTAACTCTCCGGACCTCAATCTTATTGAAAACTGCTGGAATCATCTTGTTTTTAGAATCTCTCAGACCCTCATCTTTGGATGATTTACGAGAAAAAATTAGGCAGGTATGGACTTAACTTATGATTCCTAAATATTTGAGAAAGCTCACTCACTCTATGTCGACCCGGTTAGCTAATTTTTTAAAGGGCATACTAAGTATTAACTTCAAGTATCTAATTGATAAAACATTTACTTATGTTTCAAAGAATTTTTGTCAATTGAAATGGTTACAATTATATTTTGATAAAATAAATGAATAATTTAATAAAAATTGTGTTTTTTTATGCAATGTTCCAAACTTTTAATTGTGACTATATGAATTTATAATTATATATGTATGTATGCATGAATATATATGTATGTATAAATATGTATGTATGTATGTATGTATGTATGTATGTATGTATGTATGTATGTATGTATGTATGCATGAATTTACATGTATGTATGTATGTATGTATGTATGTATGTACGTATGTATGTATGTATGTATGTATGTATGTATGTATGTATGTATGTATGTATGTATGTATGTATGTATGTATGTATGTATGTATGTATGTATGTATGTATGAATTTACATGTATGTATGTATGTATGTATGTATGTATGTATGTATGTATGTATGTATGTATGTATGTATGTATGTATGTATGTATGTATGATGCATTACTTATACATACATTAGTCAGGAAGGCATACGATGGCAGGCTATTATATGATCACGCAAATTTTGACAACATGACCACTGCTGTTAACAGAAGTTGAACTTTAAAAAAATGCTGAGAAAGTGTGTCTAAGTGACTTATCTAAAACAATAAAAAATCCATCTTAACTAAAATAAAACTTGAAAAACTAAGACACAAAGATAATTTAAATCAAGTTTTTAATCATGCTTGGAATAAAAAAATCAAATCTTTCATCTTTAATAATATGTTTTATTAATATAGAAAACCAATCAAAGTAAAGTAATAAATTCTGACGATTGTTTGATAATTATGCACATTTAGTTTAAATTATGTTTTTTTAACTGATTTAAAAATAATAAGTTTTCAAATAAATTCACACAAGGAAATAATTATGCATTAAAAAAAAAGAACTAAACATTTTTTAAAACCATTTCATGCTTTGTATAAACATACATTTCTTTAAACATATATTCATTCATAGAAAGAGAAACATAATAAAGGAAAAATAAATTTTTGAAATCTTTTGTTAGGTAAATAAAGTAAACAAAAAAAGATTCTTAAAAAGTCTTTTTATAAATATAAAAGAAAAAATAATTAAATGATTTCCATTTCGATTGAAAGATAAAATTGTTTTTTTCCTTTGTCAGAAAAGTGATAAGAAAAAGTTCAACTAGCTGTGATTTTTTTACTTTTATTTAGGGGAGGTCGGGGATTGATGGCCTCTGGGGTAATTATGGACATATGATATTTCTATATTTGTGTAATTTAAGTGAGATTTTTAATCTGTACTGGTACCTATGTTCTACTAGAAGAACTAATAATTGGTCCTAGTTCTTGGTTCTTCCTACATAAGTGGCGCTAGTTGTCTTATATTGTTAACTGTCATTTACATTTTAGAAACAAAAAATAACACCAATAATAAGAAATATAATTATTCTAGTTTTTAAATATAAATAATATAAGTATCTTATTTGCAAATATGTTTTTATTTTTGTTAATAAAAATTGATTCATTTTGGGGTAATGATCATGGCTGTATAAAATGGCTAGAAAATAGAAAAGTTTTCAGATATTTGTTTAGTTTGTAGGGAATTGGGTAAAAACTGAGAATGGTGGGTAGCCTGTGCTGCATGTGGAAACTGGGCCTACAAAGACTGCACAGATCTCCTCCATAAAAATGATATTTATATTTGTGACTATTGTATTTAATATTGTACTACTTATTTTCATTAATTCTTAAACTCATTTCTTAAACTTATTCTCTTAAACTCTTATAAAACTTATTTTTAATAATTATTATTCTTGCTTTCATTACTTGTATTCAACAAAAGAATTGGGGAAATGCTGATCAGGCTGCCACAATTGCCCCAAAGTTATGGGGTAATACTAATTTTGTTTAACTTTTTTCTTGTAATAACACGTTAATTATTTTTTGTACATATTTGCCAAAAAAGTACTTTATAATATACATTGTAGTAATTCTTCTACCATAGTCACAGCTCAGACCATTATAATACAACCCTGAAAATGGCAAAAAATCTGAAAGGGCCACCATTCCCCTGACCTCCCGTAATAATATTTTATTAATATAAAAACTTTAGCAAAAATCTTGTTAAATTATAATGGTTTTCAAAAACATTTGTAATTTTTTCTCAACAAAATTTTTTTGATTATATTAACTTTAATTATTCTTATATTAAGTTCAATCAAGAGAACAAGTTTCCACTATTAAAACTGAAGCTAAAAGTAAGAATTTTAAGGAGATTTAAGGAGATATTATCCTAATATTTAAGGAGATTTGGTCACGAACGACAAATTTTTGAAAGAAAAAGTAAGGAGAAAATGGTTACATTAGAAACAGAATCTTATTTTTTTTCAATAAATTTTAAAAATAAACAGTGAAATTATTTAAAATATTAAAATATTACTTGATAAATATATATATATATATATATATATATATATATATATATATATATATATATATATATATAAAATAGAAATATAGGTTTGCAAACTATCAAAAAACTATGTATATTTTTTATTAATAATAAGTACAATCACTTCACTTTTATAAAATCTCCTAGATGAATAAAAAATAAAAATAAATAAGGAGAAATTAAGGAGAGCAATCAAGTTTTATCTTTTTTTAAGGTTATTTAAGGACTTTTAAGTAAGACTTTTTTTTTAAGGATATTTAAGGTTTTTAAGGAGGAGTGGGAACCCTGGAGAATACCGTTATTTAAAAAAGTTATCATTTATAAAATTAAAATGAAATTTTATTTTTTTTAAGTATTGTTATGATAAATAAACACTTTTTAAACTTATTTAATTTAAATAAAAAAAATTATATACAAATTTCATTAATATTTAAAACAAAATAAATATTAATTTTTTACTTTATTTTAAATTTTATCTTAACTAATGTTTTATAAAAACATTAATTAAGATAAAGGTTTTGATATTATTTATTTCTAAAAATCTATTATATTCAGCATGTTTTTGAAATGTTTAAAACTGTGGTTAATTTGTCAAAACAAAATTTATATTGGTGAGGTCATATAATTGAGTGAAATCGCACGCCTTCCTGACCAAGTCAGTACATTTTATGTATAAATATATGCATACATAAATTAGAGGTTGAAATAGGTGTCAGACCTTGCTGCCCCTCAAACCATTCTTGAAACCTGTTAAAGGAGGGCAACAAATCATTGTTCATTTTTTTCAGTAAAAATGAATAATTGTTAGTGGCCCCCCTTAAACAGGTCTCAAAAACAATCTGAAGACAATCTGGGCGCTGATGTCCAACAATTATTTCGACCCCTCCATACATACATACATACATAATACATACATACATACATACATACATAATACATACATACATACATACATACATACATACATACATACATAATATATGTATGCATGTATGTATGTATGTATGTATGTATGTATGTATGTATGTATGTATGTATGTATGTATGTATGTATATATGTATGCATGTATGTATCTATGTATCTATTCATAGTGATAATATGATATCTTTAAAAGACATCATTGCTAAAAAAAATTAAAAAAAAAAAAATTTTTCAAACCAAAAACAATTAGATACTGTTTTTGTTTTACTTAAATTTGAATTTTTGTTTTTTAAATTTTGTTAATATAAAGTATTTACCAGTAATTTCTCCAACCACACAAACAGATACTTTTTCACGTTGTGCAATTTTTTTCAGAATACTGATATCCTTTGATTCTATTAGTAAAGCATTACTTTCTTGGTACTCAGCACCCCATATTTCCATTAAAGACAATGTTGGATCCCCTAACTCAAAATCCTTAGCTCTAATGATTGCACCAGCTGGATCACAAATTTCTTTTAAAACGTTACCTAACAAAGACATTCATTGTGTTAACTATACAAAATAATTATAACATTTATCAACATACCCTTAAAAATGAATTTATTAGAAAAAAAAAAGGTTGCTCGTGTAAATAGTAAAAATTATTAATGGCCAAATAAAAGCAACAATCGCAGTAAAGTTTAAATGGTCATTGAAAGATAACAACTAACCATTTCCACCTGCTCCTTGATCATGAATACTTTTAATTGGATTATTTTCATCCATCTCTATGCAAGAACGTATAACCCTGTTCATCTTTTGCTCCATCTCTGGATCACCTCTTTGAACAGCATTGAAGTCAAGTTGTAATGAATTGTCACCTTGGACATGAATAGAAGAAGCAGCACCACCACCAACACCAATACGATAAACAGGTCCACCCACTTTTACTACTTGCATACCTTTAAATGGAGACTATTGTTGCATATAAAAAAATAATACAAAAAAAACATATATATAAATAAAGTAGACATATTTACCAACACTTGCTTTGCTTTTGATTACATGGTTACTTTCTATAGAACCAATTCCACCGCTAAACATTATAGGCTTAATCCATTCATATCTTTCTCCATCATATAAATCCATGGCAAAAGAACGTGCAAAACCAGCAATCAATGGTTCACCAAACTTATTTCCATAATCAGATGCACCATTGCTGGCTTCAATACAGATTTGCAATGGCAATGCAAAATTTGTAGGATATTTATAATCATTTTCCCATGGTAATTCATATCCTAAAAATTTGTTTATAATATTTCTGTAATATTTTTAAAGCCGATATATTTTTGATATAATAGCATTCTGTAATTTTAATAAAAGGTTTTTACTTTAACCAAAAGTTATGAGTAAGTATAAGGAGTTGTCAATTAATAACTTCAACAAAATAGAGAGGACAAGGGGGTCTGAACTTTTTTGACAATTGTTGACAAGGGGGAGGGGGGAGGTCAATTAAAGTTGATGTCAACAATTTTTTTTTTTTGAATTTCATTGCTTAAATAATGGAATATTTGGAGCGTAGCTTCTTTATATAGGGGGAGGTAATCAAGAAAAATAGGGGGGTAATCAAAAATTGACATAATTTTATAGGGCGGGAGGTCTCTGGAAATTTGACAAATTGTTGATAAGGGGGAGGGGGGTAAATATTTCAAAAAATTTGTTGACATAATTAATGGACAGCCCCAAACAGAATTAATCACTGTCTATCAATATCATTGATTACCACTTTTTCGTTCTATGAAAAGTGTGTAAATGAAATAAATGCTAAGGTAGCAAATACAAAAAAAACTACTCAAAAAAAAAACTGACAAGTTTTATTTAAAACTAGATAATAATTCTAATACATATAAAGATAATTATTGTAGACATGACATTATGTTACCAGGAATGAAATTTAAAAACTTTGTTTTAGTGGTCCCCATAAGCTTTGGTGATCTCCATTTAGATGCAGCATTACAATTATAACAATTAAGTTTAACTTATTTTCCTTTTTTCCATGAAAATACTATACTTAAGGTTTCTGCTTAGTTTTTAGATTTGCTTCTTCTGGGACAGAGAAAGAGCAAACAATTAAATTAGCTGTCTTGGATAAGGTGCTAATCTCTTATCACAAATAGCTGAATCAAGGCATCATTTTCAAATTTTTCATTTTCTGCAAGCTTTGCATTTAAATTTCTTAACTGCTTTTCTACTATATTAGGAAATATAATAAAGAGACACAAAAACATGTTGTTTGTCTTGTTGTACAACCTTCTTTAGAAAGTTCTTGCGCTTTTTTCTAGAAAATCATATTTAATTTTAATGTTTTAATAACTTTTCAACAAAACTTTTAAAAAAACCTAGATCATTCTTGAGAGGATTGAAATTGTTGACAAGTTTTTCAAAACCTTAATCTTGAAAACCTCTTTTACTTCCAACATTAAATTTGAATTTATTAATTTTGTTAGAGAAAAATGTTGAATAGCATGACAAATGTGAAAGAACTAAGATGTATGCAGTGCAATAAAAACATTATATTAGGCAATTTAGACAATTTATGAAGTAAAACAAAATATTAGCCAATTAAGAAAACAACAACAAGAAGCTCCTTTTTTTTCACAAATCATTTTTAAAATAGTAATAAAATTTATTGTTATCATTACTATTATTATTATTTTATAAAAGTAAAATATTTTACTTATAAAAATATAAGATAACAAAATTAATACATAATATAGCCACAGTAATATGAAGCATGTTTACAATAATAACAATGAATAATAAAAATCAAATAATAAAAATAATTATAACGATAGTTATAAGCACAGTATTATTTAAAATAATAAGTTAATGATTCATAAGGACGGTGTCACTCATACAGAAGTCTGATCAAAGGAGTGACACTAATTTTTAAACATAATATAAAAGAAAAATAAACACATAGACATACATTAAAACACACAGAACATAAACACATAGATTAAAATAATAACAAAATAATAATATCAAGAAGTTAGAACAAAGCTATATTTCAGAATTATTTTTTAATTAATGGTGTTTAAGATAAAGAAAATTATTTTTAAGTTATAGTTTCTTAAACTTATTTAAAACACATACAAGTGCATCTATAAATTATTTAAATATATTTTTTAAGATTCAAACGCACCTACGTTTTACGACTTCAGGAAAAGTCATTCAAACAATTAATTTCAATAGAATATGATCAATGAAGCATTACACAAAACAATGAAGTCGTTAATGCACAAATCAGTTATTTAAATTTTAAAAAAGCTAAGAAGAAAAGGCCGGCTTTTTCATAGCATAAAAAAGTGGCTCTTTCAAAAAATTGTATGGTAAAAAAAATAACCTGAAATTAAACATTTTTTACCAAAACTTTAATTTAATATTATTTGTGGAAAAGAAGGACAAATATATATATATAACAATGCATAATCTTATGTTAATTTTGTCCCTGTTCTATTCACAAATGCAGATTGCTTACCATACTTCTAAGTTTTATAAATTGGTACCTCCAGCTTTCCATTATATATATATATATATATATATATATATATATATATATATATATATATATATATATATATATATATATATATATATATATATATATATATATATATATATATATTTCTAGTAGAGTATATATGTACTAGTCTACTTTCTGTGAAAAATTTGTAATTGAAGATGGTAAATTTTTATTTAAACAGTCAAAAAAAAAAAAAAAAAAAGAAGAAGATTAGCAAATTTTACTAGCGGTGGGAAGTTTGGTTTTTATTAAGTTTTAAAATTTAACATTAGATTTTAATGTTAAGCTTTTAAAAGGATTCCATTGAATCTGATTTGAATGGTTGGAAGTTTATTATTCTAATGGATTGTCGCTGAGAGGATAGCAACTTGATAATGTGACAGTTTCTAATTTGATGAGATAAGAACAACGCATAGTAAATATTCTAAATATAACTTTATTGACATGATGACGTATTATTGAAAGCATACTGTTAGCTCGAGATGCGAAAATTCTATAAAACATTGCAGTCAACCAATACACTAAGATATTTAATTATTAATTTTGATTATAATTTCAAAATTTTTGTAGAAATAGTTCCTTCTCCTAAATGAAAAGAAAAAATTAGTTCAATTTTTTCGGTTAGGGACATATTAGGTTAACATTCAGTGAACTATACCTTTTAGATTTAAATTTATATTTTTACAGAAAGAATGATACAATTTGCAATGATACAATTTGATATGCAAGAGATTTGTATCATCAGCAAACAGATGAATTAACGAGCAGAGTTGGTTAGGTTGGTAAAGCAAATAAAAAACAAAAGAGGAGCAAGAACAGAACCTTGAGGACACCACACAAAATAGATTTATTACCAGAATTAAAATCATTAATTTTTACGAATTGTTTTTGATCTGCAAAATAAGATCTAAACCATTTAAAATTTACAACCAATTACAAACCAGTCATTTGGAACAAAAACCAGTCATTTGGAACAAAAACCAGTCATTTGGAACAAAAACCAGTCATTTGGAACAAAAACCAGTCTTTTGGAACAAAAACCAGTCATTTGGAACAAAAACCAGTCATTTGGAACAAAAACCAGTCATTTGGAACAAAAACCAGTCATTTGGAACAAAAACCAATCATTTGGAACAAAAACCAGTCATTTGGAACAAAAACCAGTCATTTGGAACAAAAACCAGTCATTTGGAACAAAAACCAGTCATTTGGAACAAAGACTGGTTTAGATTAAAAGACACATTATTAACCAATTTAGACAAATTAGTATTTATTTAAAACACAGTTTTTATATATTTTTTTTAGATCAGTCCATAGAGAATTATTTTGAGTATTATATCTAAAGAATTATATTTAGATTAGTTCATAAAGAATTATGTGTTCATATATATTTATCTTTTATCTGCTCAATTATATTTGTCGCATCTGTTCACAAAAACTATTTTATTTCTCCCTTTTGTTATTGAATTGCAGCTTATTTTAATTTTCAAAATATCTGTGCATAATTTTTTCTCTAACATCTTTTTCTTTTTTATTTATAGAACTTATTTTAATTTAATTGGAAAAACATTTTAATTTGGAATTTGATTGGAAAAATTTTTTTTAAACTTCAACATGTTGTAAACAAAATGCAAACACAAAATTTTTTTGTTGCATAACCTGTTAAACATTGATGGAGTTGAAAGTCAAGGGAAAAGGAATAATATCAATGATGCAGCTATAATCTTGAAATTCTGCAAAGCAAACATAAATATTCAAGTCACTAAAACAGGACAAAAACTATTATAAAATAACTATTATAATGTTAATATAATAAAAAGCTAATATAATAATAAAAAAATATATTTTTTTTATAAAAATAAATTTATTTTTAAAAGGTTTAATATACCAGGAATCTTCAAATTTCCAAAACAATAGCCAGCAGTTCCAGCAATTACATGTGCACCACGCCCTGTTGCTTGTACATCTCTTATACGACCTCCAGTACCAGTTGTGGCCCCAGGAAATGGAGCAACACCTAAAATTAGCAAAAAACAATTGTTAATATATTCATCATGTAAATCACTAATATAATATATAATCCACATTGATTTTCAGAGTGTCGCAGTCAAGATGAGATAATAAAAGTTTGTTAATTAAAGCATCACAGACCTTGCTAGTAAAAAGATAAACCTTGATAACAAGAAGATGGACCTTGATAGTGAGAAGATAAACCTTGCTAGTAAGAAGACTGATTGGTTAATAGCTAGAGAGGTCAGAACAATCTCTAGAGATTTTAAAAACTTGAACCATAGAACTTTTATACAGCAGGCAAAAAAGATTCGGTAACCCTAGTAACGCACTTGTTAAATAGTTTAGAGAATATGAAGGGAGTTTTTTGAAGAACACTTTTGTCAGACTGACTTGGCGTGAAGTCAGAGTTTAAGCACTTGCTCTCAGCCACAGTTCCTTTAAGTGGTTTACAGGAGCAATTTAAAGCTTTTGCAAAAGTTTAATTTTATCGTGATTGTAAACTACTTTCTTTTCTTCTATCTTTTTAGATATTAATTTGAAAAATAAAAAATTCTTGTGCTGACTACATTAAATAAAAAAAATAAAAGAATGAATCATTAACTTATTATTTTGCAAAAAAATAAAGAATCACATTTTGTAAGCAAAAATGTGATTCTTTATTTTTATTTTTTTTAATTTTGCTCACAAAATGTGTTTGTTTTTTTACATAAGACATTGATTTTTTTTACATAAGACATTGATTTTTTTTGTAGTGCTTTTGATTATATTTTAACTATACAAAACTTGTCGACATTATAATATTCTATACTTTTACAAATTAAAAACGTTCAAAATAGAAGCTTTTATTCCCATACAACAAAAAAAAGAACATTCTGATTTAAAATATGTTTAAACATGTTTCTTTTATACTTTATTTTGTTAGTCTTTAACAAAATAAAACAAACATGCTTAAACTTATACTTTACTTTTTTGTTTTTATTTTATGATTTTTAAGTTGAGCCACATTTTAATATAACTCTCATTGCTTTGTTTTGTAGTTTTTCTAAGATATCTAAGTTATTATTGTTTACATCAATAAAAATAGAAATAGTGTGGAGCAATAACAGTTTAAAAGATTATTTTTTTAGTTAAAAAAAATTTTTTAACATGGTGAAATATTTGCCTAATCTACCAAGATATCTAGTTTTGTTTGAATTTTTATTAGAGGTATGTAATATGCAAATGTGAAATCCACTTATTTAATGTTATGTACAAATCGGTTTGTACTTATAAAACATTATGTACAAATACAAGCTTGCAGATCGTATATTTAAGAACCGTATATAATATATTTACAATATAAGAAAACTTTCAAAACTTTTCTTACAAATTTAAGTCTTTTTTGTTAAAATTGTTTCACTTAGAATTTTTGTATTTATGTTATTGCATTTTAAAAAATCAACAAGATAAAAAAAATACAAAAAAAATTTTAATATCAATTTTCATCTAAAATATTTCATGTTAGTCAATAATAAGAAAAAAACTTGTTTTAACTATTGCTGCGATCTTAAACACGGTTACTTGATCAAACCATAACACGGTTTAGACTTGATCAAACCATTCAAAAACTAAAAGATTGAGAGAACCTAGAACAAAAACTCTTCTTGTGTTCTAGGTTTCTATTAAATGAAAGAACACAAAAAACTTTTTAAATAAACACTAGTAGTCTTACAAGGTTTAACATTTTTTTGTTCAAACTCAAATAATTAAATTAAGTTCAAATTATATAATTCAAATAATTAAGAACTTTGCACAAGAACTTTGATTTTTCACTCATAAATTTATTTGTATTATTATGTAGAAACAATAACATTTCTCTACATTAAATTAACAGCTTGGTACACTTTTCTCATAAATATTTTCATATTCAGAATACAATCTTTCTAAAAATGCAAAAAATGCTGGCGGCGCATGGCGGTGGAGCTAATAATTTAAGGACTATATGATAATCATTTATTGTATTACTAATAAGTTAATGCAATCCTTATTTTTTTATGTATTAGGTTTGACTATTCATCATTATTATCTTTTTAATGGAAGGCTTGAAAAAGCAAAAAAAATTGCTTTTCATTTCACATATTCTCTTTACAATTAACATGCTACCTTCTAAAATATTCTTGTGGAGTTAAAGGTTTTTTAAGTTTTAAATTTTTCTTTTCTTTTTATACAACTTTAAATGAAATTTTTTGGTGTGATTGTGATGTGGTGTGATAGTGGTGTGATGTGATTGTGGTGTGGTGTGATTGTGCAGTGGAGTTGTAGAAAACAATTTTGACCAGAATTATTAGATCTCCTGCTTATTTGATTTCTATATAAAATTCAAATTCAGATGGATCATTTATTCTTTATCCATTTATTTAGCCCAAAATTGAAAACTACAACTTTTTTTTTTATATATATATAATTTTACAAAATTACATTAAGTGTCACTCATATAGTTAAAAACTATTCATTGAAGTGACTCCTAGATAAAATAAACAAACAAAAAAATTAACAGCAATATTAATAAATAAAAGCAATGGTAAATTAAATTTTAAAAAAAAATGATTAAGTTATAATAAATTAAATAAAAAGGCAAAAAAATATGAAAACACTCAATTAATAACAACAGCAAACAACAATAAAAATAATTAGCAACAACAGTACAAATAATAACATCACACAAATGAAAAGGCAATTGCAAAAAATACAAAACAAAAACAAAAACTATATAACAAAAAGGTAAACACAAAAACTTCTACAAAATCAAATAAATTATATTTGTTATTCTTGGTGGAAACAGAAAAGCTTAAAAAATTTGTAGTGAATTATTTTTGTTTTAATTAGTTCTTTTTATCATTTTTTTGAACATTTTATGTACTTCTTTTCTTTTAACATGTTTTTAATTGATTGTTCTTGTTTTATTTTATTAAATCTATTTGTTCGTTTTATTTTTTTATTCATTTTCTCGTTTTATTTTTTTTGATGTTTTAGTTCGTTTATGCCTTTTAATATTTTTGTTATTTTACTTTATTTTTGTATTTTTTGTTCATTAAAATTTTTTGTTTTGGTTTTTCTTTTCTCTTTTTTTCTCTTTTCACCATTTCAAGTTAAAAAACTTTCAAACAAAGCATGTCATTTTTGAATGTTTAACATGGTGATATTTTACAATACTTGACTTATCAAAATATGTATTGTAGGTTTTGTAGTGAAAACATCTGTCTGTAGATGCAAATATCTAATATAAGTATCCGGCCAGATAACTTTCCGGTTATCCTGTATCCAGCCAGAAAAAAAATGCTATCTGGGACATCCCCAGCTATTAACTTGCTAAGATTCTCCACTCCTCCTTACTTTTCCACAGATTCTTCACTCCTCCTTACTTTTCCGCAGATTCTCCACTCCTCCTTAGTTTCCTCTTCTCCTTAGTTTCCACTCCTCCTTAGTTTTCCCTAAAATTTATAGTCATAGTTTAATAATCTGACATTAAAAATGAAATATTAATTTAGTGAAAACAAACATCTGGCATTAAAAACAGCTTAATGAAAAATTAAAGAAAACTTTTTTTTCATTGGAGAAATACCACATAACTGTCATACAGCAGGGCGCGACAAATCGACGAACGTGCGAATGTTTGTTAAAAAAAAGACAGAAAAACGAACGTCACGTTTCCTTACTTTTACTTAAGCAAACGTTGGCGTTCGCCTTAATTTTTTAAAAACGAACGCATATCTTCAGCAATTTTTTATTTCCAAATAATTATGCGATTGATAGTTTTTTATTTATTATAAAAAAAAACATAATTAATATAAACAAAAATAAGTTACTAAAATTTAGAACGCAGTTTCAATGACATTAAAAAATACTTTCTTCAATAGCGTTACTTTTAAGTATGCAACTGTTGAAAAAAATATATTTAGCATGGTTTTTACATGGTTTACAAAAGAATGGCAAGTTTAACTTAAAACGAATGCATTTGCAATCACTTTAAACGGAACCATGCTAAAACATTCTTTTTCAAAGGCGTGCTTTTTTTAAATTTTCTTATTATCATTAAAATAATGTTTATTTGCTGTTTTTAAAGTTTTAAAAAAAATTTGCAGAAATATATAAAATTTAATAGATTTTATAGAACTATTATGTTGATTATAGTTTTGATTTTTTACTGTGCGTTTACCAACAACCAATAATATAATATTTTTTTATTAAATACTTAATACTATAAATATAATAATAGCATATCAGGTATTTGATAGTAACTTATTAAATTATAAATTTAATAACTTATTAAATGCTTAATACTATATTATTATTTTTAAATATTCAAAAAATAAAAATGTCAAAATAACTTTTATTTTATTTTTATATAGTCCCTTTTATTTAAATTTTATCAAGTTTATTTATTTTTTTTTTTATAATTTAACAAACTAAATTGAGAAAAGTTCACTATTTTGTATTAATAGATAACAGTTATCTAGAAAAAAAAAAAGTGAAAAGTTTATTGCGTATTAGTTATCGTTAATTTGCGCACACTTTGCAAATGCGTGAAAAATTGTTTTAAATTAATAAAAATTGATAAAATTCGATAAGTATCTTTGATATATCTAATTATTATATATCTTATTATCTAGAATAAAATTAATTTGAAAATAAAACTCCCTTATAATTAAATAAAAAAATTTGTCTAAATAATAAAAAAAAAAAATTAAAGAAGTTAAAATGAAACTGGCTTATTCTGGCCAACACACGGGTTCAAAGTGGAGTTGCGCAACCATTTATTAATGAAAAAAATCCTCTATATCTTGAATTTCTCTTAAATAAAAAAAATATATATAAAAATTTTTTAAAAAAGTGTGTATGTGTGGAGGGGGGGGGGGGGTAGATATTTGACATACCTCTTAAATTAGACGTTCGTCAATAAATAATGAAACGAACGTCTACGTTTATTTAAAAAAAACGATTTTTCGCGCCCTGTACAGAAATACT